AAAAAAAAAAAAAAAAAAAAAAAAAGAAATGTTGTTCCATGTCTGCTGTCCTGCATTGTTTCTGACTAGAACCACACTCTTGCTCGTATCGTTGTACCTTTGCATATAATGCATCCTTTATATCTGGCTTTCTTTCTTAAGATTTCCTCTTAGCATTGGTTTTAGGCAATTATATTTCAATGCCATTTGGTATGGTTTTCTTCATGTTTGTTTCAGTTGAGGTTCGTTGTGTTTTCTGGATCTGTGGGATTTTTAGTTTTTATTAATTTGGAAACTTCAGATATTATTTCTTCAAATATTGTTTTCTGTCTCTCTTTCTTCTCTTACGAGAACTCACGTTACACACACATGCCATGGCTTTTGAGGTTGTTCTACAATTCACTGAAGCTCTGTTCCATTTTTTCCAGTCTTTTTTTCTATTTCTGTTTCATTTTTAGATAGTTGCTGGTGCAGTGTCTTCAAGTTCACTACTCTTTGTTTCTACTGTGTCTAATCTGCTATTAAACTCATCCAGTGTATTCTTAACCTCAAACGTTGTATTCTTCATCTTGCTTATGTTTTCCATATCTCTCCTTAGCATGCTTATGTTTTAATCGACCATGTTGAACATGTGTAATATTGTTACGATAACATTTGATGTCCTTGTCTACTAATTCTATCATTTGTGTCATTTCTGTGTTGCTTTTGGTAAGTTAATTTTTTTCTCCTACTTAGGGGTCATACTTTCTTGCTGCCATGCATGCCTGGTAGTTTTTTATTCAATGTCAGGCATTGTGAACTTTATCTTGTTGGGTGCTGGATATTTCTGTGCTTTTCAAATGCTCTTGAGTTTTGTTCTATAACACAATTCATTTAAAAACAATTTGGTCAAGGGGCGCCTGGGTGGCGCAGTCGGTTAAGCGTCCGACTTCAGCCAGGTCACGATCTCGCGGTCCGGGAGTTCGAGCCCCGCGTCAGGCTCTGGGCTGACGGCTAGGAGCCTGGAGCCTGTGTCCGATTCTGTGTCTCCCTCTCTCTCTGCCCCTCCCCCGTTCATGCTCTGTCTCTCTCTGTCCCAAAAATAAAATAAACGTTGAAAAAAAAATTTAAAAACAATTTGGTCTTTTTGAGGCTTGCTTTTAAGCTTTGTTAGGCAGCACCAAAGCATTCTTGTCTAAGGATGATTGTTTTTTCCTTCATCACCAAGATAATACCACTTGGAGTACCCTGCCCAGTGCCCTATGAATTACGAAGTTTTCCACTGTGGCTGTTAAAAAAAAAAAGGAATTATTCTCAGCCTGCGTGAGCTCTGAGGAGCGTTTCTTCTGCTCCTGTTGGGTGGCCCTTTTCCCACATGCACTAACCAGCACTCAGAGGCGGACTTGGGGTGGGGGGGAGTCTTCAAACCTCCAGTGCTCACTTTCTGTCACTGTGCAGTTGTCTCCTAGTACTCTTCCCTGCAAACACAAGCCACTTTGGCCTCCCCAAACTTCTACCTCCATTTTCTCCACTTGAGTGGCCCACAGAGCTTCCTGGGCTCCCTCATTCTGCAAATTAGAAACTTCCAGACAGCAAGTTGTGACGATTTGGGGGCCGACCCTGCAGATTTTCCACCTCTCTGGGATACTTATCTTGCACTTCTTGTTGCCTAATGTCTGATATTAGTGGGTTTGTATATGTTTTTCCAATTTTTGAGTTGTTCAAGGCAGGAGGGGGAATCTGGTTTCTGTTGCTCTATCTTGAAGGGAAGTACGGGTGTCGTCTTTACCATCTTCAGGACTTTGAGCTTTTTGCTGAGTACAATGGGGAGCCACAAGAGGGTTTTGAGCTACATGATCTGACATACATTTCTCACATAGTAGAATAAATTAATGGGTACATGTTAAGAGATGAACCACCTTCTAATATATCATATAATGTACCCTTTGAATTTGTTGACAGTCTGTTGTCTTGCTCACTATTACATCCTCAGTGGGTAGAAAGAACGTGACTTGCCTGTGGTTGGTATTTGGGAACCAGGAACTGAGAGTGAAGGAGAAATGGGATCCCAGAGCAGGTGGAGCAGAGACCCACTCCTGCCATGAGGGTCCAAGAGGAAGTCGTGAGACAAACAGCTTGGGCACCACCCCCAAAATGAAGGATACCTCCTTTTTTGGCCCCTCTGGCAATGAGCACAATCTGAGGGAATCCTGTCCCCACATTTGCAAAAGGAGAGAAGGGGAAAAGGAAGGAGGAAGGAACCAGCTTCAAGGGGTCGATGTCCTTCCTTGCCCATGTCACACGTTTTTTCTCAGTATCTCTGTCATGCAAACATAATTGTTCTCAAGCACCAGGAGACGGTGGGGGGAGGTCTGGAGCACAGACAGTGTTGTAGTCCAGCACACTCATCTTCATGGCTCCTGTTCCCACCTGCCCTGTAGCCCTTGGACCCCCACCAAAGACCCCCTCGGTGATATCTGGGTAGCCAGGACAGTCTTGTGTGTGACCCTGAGAAGGCTGGCTCCCCCAAGTCAGTGCAAGAGCTAGAGTTGGGGATGCCATACCCTGAGCCCTCCAGGTCCTGTCAGTCACATCTGTGCCACCAGCACTTGCTGGGAAGTCAGGCCTCTCCAGACCCACAGTAAATGCTGCCTACTTAACAGCATCCCTGAGGCTTTCAGGCCCCTTCCCTACTCCCAGGGTTTAGCCAATCCATTGAACAGAAGGTAGACACATGCAAGGATGTTGCCAAGCCTGATCCTGACCAACATGGCTCTCAGTGTCTACTGGGCTTGCATCATGAATGCACATGAGGATGCCTACATACATCCTGGACCTCTTTTCCATTTCAGAATGTCCTCCCATGTCTCCAAATCCATGAAAGAGTTGTCTTACCTGAAGGTACCTCAGGACCCTTCCTGCAAAGACAGACAGGGACACCCAACCACCATCATTCTCTGCAAGTCACAGAGCAGCCAGGTTGCCGTGGGGCCCAAGGAGCACAACATGTTCATGGAAGAAACCTACAGTGCGGGTGATCACCATCCCTGGGACTCCAGCAGGGCAGGAGATGGGGTGGTCAGGTTCCAGCAGACCCTATCATGTTCCTGCACCAAAACTGTTAGGGATGAGGGCCAGAGGGAATCCACCCACCCGGGGACCTTGGGGATGTCAAGGATCTTGTGGACATAGTGAGACCTTCAGGAGAGAGCTCTACACACCCTCCTTGGCCTCTTCATGCCTCCTCAAGCTCCATCCTAAGCCCAAAACTTCCCTCCCTCACACCTCACCTTCCATTTTTCTCCCACACCGATTCACACCTTAGGACCGCAGCTTAGGCCTGATCCTTTCACAAGAATGCTTCTCCCTTCATTCAAAGGGTAACATGACTTCATCATTTTAGGCAAAGTTAAATTGCCACCTCCTCCAAGTGGCCAGTCCTGAATGTCCCTCCATCTTTTTGGGGATGTATTATCCCTGCCCTCTCTGTGTGCCCAGGGCCTTTTATACAACTACAGAACCAGAGTCCACTGATATTGAGTAGGGTTCCCATGGGCTGGGGACTCTTTCAGAACTGAGCTGGGTCCTGACTCCTCTTTGAGCCCACACACACAGTCCTACGACCACACAGAGTGAACAACATTGAATGTTGAATGACAACATGGAAGGTGAGGGAGTTAAGGGATGAATAGATGGAGGAGTGGAGGGGTGGGTGGGTGGATGGATGGGTGATGGGTGGATGGATAAACTTATGAATGGATTAGTGGGTAGACAGGTGGATAGATGAATTTGTGATCAGATGGGTGATGGATGGATAGATGGATATATTTACTAATGCATGGACTGGTAGGTGAGTGTAAAGATGGACAGACAGGTGGATGAATTGATGGACAAATAGGCATATGCATGAATGTGTGGGTGGATGGACAGATGAATTGATGGACAGGCAGATGATAGATGAATGGATAAGTGGATGGATGAAAAAGTGGTTGAATCAATGAATGGATGGAAATATGCATGGGTATATAAGGGTGTGAAAACCTGCCTGTCTTCCTGCTTCTTATCCTATCTCAAACTCCAGGAGGACTCTTTGGACAGTCAAGAGGCCCAGGAATTCCCAGTATATTCAGTTCTTCAGTCTTCATTTTCAAGTCACTCTTTCCCATTCCCAGCCCTACCACTTCCCTGTCTATGCATCCCAGCTAGCACAGTGTAACCTCCCCACAGGCTATCCACCCTCACACCTTTTTCCATCTCCTTTAGCCATTTGCTTCAAGATGCTCCAGGACCTGAATGGTTCAGACCCTCGAGGCCTGAAGTACATCATTAAGAAGATCAAGAACATGGCTCACGAGGCCCCCAACCTGGTGCTGGAAACTATCCATGACTACTTTGTGAACAACCCAGAGGTGGGAGCTGCTTGAGCCATTGGAGGGAATGCATGGAAGCAGAGGGAGGGCTGGACCCCAAGGCAGGTTCAAATCTTGGCTCTTTGGTACAGCTGCTTGATTTGGGGCAAGTCAGTCTCCTCATATGTCTAATGGGTTAAGCAGGGAGGGAAGAAGGTGGACCATGTGTTGACTACCCTCAGAATAGTCTCATGATATAGATATTATGACCCCCATAGATGAGGAAACAGGCTTAGGAAAGGAAAGTGATTTGCCTAAAGTCACAGAGAAATTAAGTAGCAGAGATGGATGAATGGATGCCAGAATGAGGCTGATGCTGCTGAGCTCCGACCTGGCGACCGGCACAGCGACCTATCCTGTGTAGACCAACGTTATTTTTCCTACACCAATCACACTTCTTTCAAAACAGCTTCTGCGGGGTTTTCCTACACCAATCATACTTCTTCCAAAACCCCTGCGGGGTTTGGCCTCGTAAGCTCTTTCTTCCAGCTCCAGGCACATCTCGGTTTCCTCCTGAATCTGTGTCTCCCGGATTGGAATTCCTAAAGGCCCCAAATAAACTGCTGGTTTGCTCTGCCGCTCGGTTCCTTTCTGCTCGACAAGGTCATTGTCATGCTAGCAGTGGTGCCCTGTGGTCCCCCCACTGCCTCTGGTGCAACCGTAGAGACTCCAAAGTCATTGCGGACATGAGACCTTTACCCGCACGCAGTCTTCTGCAGAGTCCCCCGTGCGTCTGCCCGCCCCGCAGTTCCCCAAGGTGCGCCTGGCTCTGGGTCTCTCCGTGGCCACTGTGCCCTCTGGCCCCGCCCCCCACGGTCTGGCTGGCTGTTTGGGACCTTTGCTTCTGGAAAAGTTCTCACTTATTTCACTGACAGTATCGTCCGTCCCCCGCGTTGCTCTGCCCAAGGCTTCAGGGACGCACAGGTGCGGGGTGCCCAGTCCTCCCTAATACTTTCATCTGGTGTCTCTTCCACCAGCTCTCTGTCCTCCGTTCGGCTCTCTGAGGACGCGCTGTCTTCCAGACCTTCTGCGGAGTCCCCAGCTCTGCCCCGTGCCTTCGACTGTCCCACGATCTTGATCTGGGGCCTAGAATGTTCACTTTCATATCATGCTGTTTTATTGTGGATACAATACCTGCTTTGATCTCTTGGGACATTAAAGAGACAGCTTTGCTGGAAGCTTTCGTCTCTCCGTTTGGCCTGTGTTTCCTCCCGGTAGCAGTTTTCCGGGTTTCGTCGGGTGTGTGGGGATGGTAATCATCTCCAGCGTGGCTGTCTGCCCGTGGTTAGCGGTGATAGGGAGCTCTGAAGGCACCGGCGGGTGCCAGGATTTGGGGTCCACTGTAGAGTCAGCAGGGAGCCCACGGCTGCCCACCACCCGTGCCAGAACCTCTGTGGCTTTCGTCCTGGGCTGCCCAGATTTCCCAGAGAACACTCCAGCACCGTGCCCGGCCCGGAGGTGTGAGGCTCAGGGGCAGTGCTGTGGAGGGCCCTGGCCTCCCGTCCCAGACCCGTGCCTGCCCCCTCTGGAGACCGAGCCACCCGAGACAAACTCCTCTGGGTGTGCAGGGGCACAGCATCTGGGCGCCTGACGCCTTCTTGAATCGCTGCACCCTCCCCCGGCACCCTGGTCGCAGAGGTTTGGTACACGTGCTCTGCGGAGTCCCCCTCACCCGTGGGCAGACCTGGCCAGGTGACACTGGGCTTGCCCGATGCTGCCTACTGCTCACCGATTACTGTCATTCATTTGCTCTCCAGCTTCCAGAACGTGACTGCTGTTGAACTTCTTAGAACATCTCCTTGGTGGGGGGGGGGGGGGTGCCTGGGTGTCTCAGTTGGTGAAGCATCCGACTCTAGGTTTCTGAAGCATCCGACTAGATTTCGGCTCAAGTCACGAGCTCATAGTTCATGGGCTCGAGCCCCGCGTGGGGCTCTGGGCTGACGGCCTAGAGCCTGCTTGGGATTCTGTGTCTCTGCCCCTCCCCCACTCGACCTCATGCACTCTGTCTCTCTCAAAACAAATAAGTAAACTTTAAAAACAGCTCCTAAATGTGGCTTAGTCGAGGTGTTTTTTTGAAAGGGCAAAAGCAGTTTCAATCCACCCTCTTAATGAGAAGCCCTCATACCCACACTTTGAGTAAATTATAAACGACTGAATGATCTCACATGATGATTGAAACAGCATCGCAGGGCACACAGGGAGGGACCCGAGACCCCCTCGCTTTCAGACGCCACCAGACGCAGGGCAGACCCCTGGCCCCCACCCAGCAGTGGTGCTGTGACAGCACCTCCCGTCTCACACCGGCAGCCGCGGACAGCACCTGATGGTTCCCACTAAACCTCGGAGAAAAGAGGAACCCAGATTACAGCAGCATCAAAAGACATACCAAAATTTTGTTGAGAAAAGCCCCAGGTGTGGCGACACAGAGCGGGCTCCCCTGTGCCCGAGGCCACCGCCCCACTAGCCGGGGGTAGGTAGGCAGGACCGCCAGCTGGGCCTCTTCCCGAGCGGCTGACCCCGAGCCCTCAGGCCCGAGAGGCAGAAACCGTGGCTCGGAATTCACCTGGATGGGTCATCAAAGGAGGTGACATTGTCTGGAGGAGACAGTTGACTGGAGCCTGCAGGACCCATGCCCCACATGGGGGCCTCGGGGCCGCTCTAAAACGGACTAGATCTGGATGGACAAGGTGGGCGGGAGCGGTGCTCCAGGCTCAGAAGCAGGAAGCACAGCGGGCTTCTGGAACTATCCCAGGACCAGGGGTGCTGAGGGTCCACGGAAGCTCAGCCCTGGGACAGAAGCTCAGCTGGCATATGCGGGGCCACCTTGGTCTGTTTTCTATCCAAAATGTGGGCTGACCACAGCGGCCCTGCCGACCAAACCAGACCTCATGCATGAAAAGCCAAAGCTTTGTCCAAGTGCCCACTCCTCCTTCTTGCCCCCCGCCCTCCAGAAGCTGGAAGAGGTATACCAGGACGCGGCCAGCAACGTGCTGCTGGCCATCTGTAGGCATCGTGGCAGGTGGTGGCCCAGCACCTGGAGACGGAGGTCCTGACAGGCGTCTTCCCGCACCGCAGCCTGCTCTACGTGATGGGCATCCTGACCTCTAACGGTATGTCCTGCCCTAGAGGCCTGAGGCACCCCCAGCCTCACCCTGGCCACCTTCTGCCCCCAGGCCCCGAAGGTGGCATCATAAAGAAGGATCCAGAAGGGAACACGGTTGACCTACGGGGCACACGTAGGGCCAGGCATCGGCTGCACAACGTGTCTGTGCCAGAAGAACAGCATGTGGCCCCAGCCCCCCCCACAGCCCCCTCCCCATGGCCAGCCAGGGCCGCATCAAGGCCCCCAGGAAAGGAGACCACCAGCCCGCCAGCTGGTCCCCATTGGCCCGTGGTCCTGCTGTCAGCATTTCTACAATGGCCTGGACAGAAGCAGGACAGGGCAAGGAGGCTCCAGGAGGTGGCCCAGGATGGGCGTGAGGCCAGCACTGCCATAGGGTCCTGGTCCTCTGTCACCACAACAGGCGGGTGCCCCTGCTCACTAGCAGAAGAGGAACCAAGCTCACGGAGGCAGTGTGGTGGGCCTGAAGGCCCCGAACAGCATGTTACAGGCCTGTGATGTCCAGGTCCCAGGGCTTCAACAGCAGCCACTGGCTCTGAGTTGTGGGAAGGGTCGCCCTGGACAGTGGGGTCTCTGAGGACCCTGGGGGAGGCCCTATAGGGAAGGGTCTTGCCAGGAGAGAGTTTAGCATAATGCAAAGCAACCAACTGAGCACCTGCCCTGTGCCAGGCTCCCTGCCCTCAGGAGCTCACAGCCCCCGGAGGGAGGCAAACACCAGCTGTCACTTAGGCACGCTCATCCACTCACAGTGTGAGCGGAGTATGCTGCTGCCCTGAGACCCCCAGGCCACCCCCAAGGCAGCCCTCCCTCCGAGGTTGAGTTTCCAAAGTTCCATAAAAGCTTTCCGTTCTCACAACGCACCCCTCTCCGGGCTTTATTTTCCACCCTTGAAGGGATTCTGGCACATTCCAAATGGCCACGCCTGGAGGGAACCCTCCATTCACCATTGGTGAGCCGGGGGCCCCAAGAGGCAACACGGCCGACCTGAGGACACAAGGCCAGGGTGGCAGGGCCACAAGTCCAGCCCAGCTCTCCAGACCCTGCACCCAGTTCACCGCCCTCCACGAAGCCAGGACAAGTAGAGGCAGGACAATGTCACCCTGGCTCAGTCCAGTATCTGAGGGATGGGGGAGAAGGAGCCCGAGATCCAGCCCCAGCGTGGACATCAGACGTGGCCTCCAGCGACATGGCCCTTCTCTCCCGCAGAGTCAATCTTCCAGAAGGGAGAGAAGGCATGCTGGGAAAAGCAGCTGGCCCAGGTAGGGGGGAGCCCGGCCACCGGGGCCTTCCAAGGGACGCTGGGGGCAGCAGGGGAGCAGGGCATCTGCTCTCCCTGGGAGGTGGGTGGGGGGTGGGGAGGAGCCCCACTGTCACAGATGAGCAAACAGGCTTAGAGGGGACTACAGGATGTAATGCACAGTGCCCGGTACGCGGGCCGCCCTTGTTCAGTGTAGTTAATAGTTTCCGTTAGTGGTAACAGTAGCAGCTAATGATTAATAGAGAAGTAAGACAGAAAATCACTAAGGATAGAGAAGCCTTGAACGACATAATTAACCAAATTGATCTAATTGACATTTCTTTCAAACATAAATAGAACATTCACCAAGATAGCGCGTTCGCTGGGCCCTATATCAAGTTTCGATAAATTTAAAAGGACTGAAATGAAACAGAGTACATTCTCTGACCAGAATGTAAATCAGACATCAATAGCAAAGATGTATCTGGAAAAAAATCCCAAATATTTGGAAAGGAGACAACACATTTCTAAGGAACCCATGGGTCAGAGAAGTCACGAGAGAAAGTAGAAAAGATTTTGAACGCAATGATCCTAAAACACAACGTATGAAAATTTGTGGGGTTCAACAGAAAGCAACCTCAGAAGGAAATTCATGTTTTTAATGCCTGTGTAAGAAAAGAAAGGTATAAAGTCTATTATCTAAAAAGCTATCGGGGTGCCTGGGTGGCTCAGTAGTTTAGGCGTCCGACTCTTGATTTCTGCTCACATCATGATCTCGCCATTTGTGAAATCAAGCCCCATCGTAGGGCTTTGCGCTGATGACGTGGAGCCTGCTTGGGATTCCCTCTCTCCCTCTCTCTCTCTCTGCCCCTCTCCAGCTGTGTGCACTCTCTCTCTCTCAAAATAAGTACACTGAAAAAAATTAATGAATGAAAATGAAAATGAAAACTAAAAAGCTATCCAAAAAAAGGACCAATGAGATCTAAAGTAAGGAGAAGGAACGAAATGATAAAATCTAGAGTACAAGTCAAAGAAATTTCTTAAAGGGACGCAAAGAAAACCCATTTGTTTGCACAACATCCCCATACATGGACGACCCTGTAGGCGCACCGGCTGCGAGCATGAGAATTACCAGTTTGTCCTTCTGGTAACTGGCCCACTCGGATGATGGCCCAGGGTGGGTGGACTTAGCTTGGGGGAGGCTCCCCCTCCTGAGCAGCTCACTGGCCAGGAACAGCATTTCCAGCTTGAAAATGGCCTTTTCTGACGAATGGATACAGAAGCTGCGGTTCATATACACAACGGAATACTACTTGGCCATGAGAAAGAAGGAAATCCTGCCATTTGCAGCAACGTGGATGGACCTGGAAGGTATTATGCTGAGTGAAATAAGTCAGGCAGAGAAAGACAGATACCATAGGTTTTCACTCATTTGTGGAACTTGAGAAACTGAACAGAAGACCATGGGGGAGGGGAAGGGAAAAAAGAAAGTTACAGAAAGGGAGGGAGGCAAACCATAAGAGCCTCTGGGATACAAACTGAAAACAAACGGAGGGTTGATGGGGGGGGAGGGGAAAGTGGGGGATGGGCAGGGAGGAGGGCACCTGTTGGGATGAGCACTGGGTGTTGTATGTAAGTGGTGAATCATGGGAATCTACCCCCAAAACCAACTGTACACACTGCATGTTAGCCAACTTGACAATAAATTATTTTTTTTTTTAAAAAAGAGGGGCGCCTGGGTGGCTCAGTCGGTTCAGCGTCTGACCTTGGCTCAGGTCATGATCTCGCAGTTTGTGGGTTCGAGCCCCGCGTCGGGTTCTGTGCTGACGGCTTAGAGCCTGGAGCCTGCTTCGGATTCTGTGTCTCCCTCTCTCTCTGCCTCTCTCTCTCTCAGAAATAAATAAACATTTAAAAAAAATTTTTTAAAGAAAGAAAACATCCCGCAACATGGCGGGATGAACAGCGGTCTGCAAATAAGCGTCATGTCCTGGCATTCGATCTGCTCAGGCTTCTACTCACTTGCCCCAGCGAGAGGCTGTGGGCCGTCGGGGCGGCAAGGGAGCCTGAACCAGGCTGTAAGCAACAGGCCGGTGTTCCCCACCACGTTGTGTGTGAGCATCCCCAGGACTTGGTTGTCTCTTTCTGGCACAAACCGGGGAAAGGTTTGAATAGTTCTATGGGCCTGAGGTGGGTCATTCCTGGGGGGGCCTGTTTAAGTTCTCTAAAGCCTGCTCGTGTTTACCACCCCCCCCCCCCAAGGAATGGGTCCAGGGACTGGAATTTTAGTAAGTTCAGAGAGTGGGAAAGCTGATGGAGAAACATTAGGAGCCCGCGGTCTGCGACAGGCAGCCGGGCCTCGACAAATACAAGGCTGTGGCTTCGTCCTGTGCCTGCAGGAAATGCTCTGATCAGTTTCATCCTTTCTGGGGACAGCTGGGTTCCGTCAGCGTTTGGATCATGACCTAGGTCAGGAGCTGCGTCTAGAGAGCGTTGCGATTTCTCTCTAGGGGCTTTATGTCCCTCAAGCAAATACATGGAATCCTTCATGAACATCTGGTTGGGAGCTGAGCACGGCAAGGCGTTCTCTCCTCATTGTAGAGGCTCCATCTCCCGGGCGCCTGGGGTGAATCACTCTCCACGGGGCCCTCGGGAGAAATAAGAGGGGGCCTCACGGAACTGTCCAGGTATGTTGTTGACTGACATCGGCTGCCGGGGTCCACAGCGATGCTGGAGAAGCTGAGCCAAATCCACCATTTTGAATAGCGAACCCCTGTGAGTCCGCTGTCTGGGTTTGGAACAACTGGGAAACGGGGAACTGTCTCGTCAGCGGCCCTCAATCCTGGACAAATCACCACTGTGTCCATTAGGTTTCTGGGCGGGCGGGCAAGGTCTCCTGTCCCAGGGCTGGGGCGGGACGATCAGCCCCTGGACGACCAGGGGTCCCTGCCGTCGGTGCGAGGCCTTGTACAGCCTCAGGTTTCACGGGGGTTGAGGCAATTTGGGAAGAAGTGTAGTTATGTCTGTTGGAATCTTTTTTTTTTTTTTTAACATTTATGTGTTTTTTGAGAGACAGAGGAAGAGCAGGAGCAGGGGAGGGGCAGAGAGGGAGGGAGACACAGAACCCGAAGCGGGCTCCAGGCTCCGAGCCGTCAGCACAGAGCCCTACGCGGGGCTCGAACCCACAGACCGCGAGATCATGACCTGAGCCGAAGCCGGACGCCCAGTCGGATGCCTAACCGACTGAGCCACCCAGGCGCCCCATGTCTGTTTGGATCTTGACAGACTCTGTCCTTTTTCACTCTCCCAGTGTCAGTCTGAGAGGCCGCCCACAGGCTTGCAGGCACCTCAGTTCAATTAAGGGACTTTTGTTGCAGTTTGTCCTCTTGTATGTCAAGGACAGACTGTAAAGAACATAAAAGGTTCGGGTGGGTCGGGAAATTCCAAGGCGAAGTCTCCAGCGGAGGCAAAACGTGTGAGCTGGCCCTTTGCATTTAGAAAGGACGTCTCGGTGGACAGGTTGTCAGGGCCTGGGTCACACAACAAAAGAGAGCGTTTTCCAGGGAAAGGCCCCTGGCTGAGACAGAAACTCCCTCTAAACTGGATCAGATGCCCTCACTATGGAAACCTTCCTCCGAGGGATTGGCTGTCCTGGGGGAGCGGGGTTTAAGGAGAGACTGTAGCTCTCGCACGTCCCCGAATTTGGCAAGGCTTCCCACTAATTTAATTCTAGGCTCTCTCTCAGCTGCTGGAGGGGGTTGCTGAGATCAGAGAACCCTGCCATCCCCGTCGGCCCTGGGAGGCCCACGGGGGGCCCCGGCCCGGGGGTGGGCACGGGGACCCGAGAGGTGGTGTGGGCGAGTCCCGTGGGGCCTGCGGGGACAGTGGAGACGTCAATCCCTGGGGCAGCGCCTCGGGGTGCCCGGGAGGCCCAGGTGCCGCCCCAGGCCCCTGACCTTGAGGCCACTGCAGCCCTCAGGCCAACAGCTTGGCGGACCTTTGTTTACGGTAAAGTCCCCAGCTCTGGTCATGAGTTCAGTCAGGCAGGGGGCCTCCCGTCCGATTTTCTGCCTTTTTATCAACGCTCTAATCTCAGGAGATAATCCACCTACAAGTGGAAAAGCTGGAACACGCTGGGTGCCCTCCGTTATTGTCTGGAACCCAGGATGCTGTAGGAAGATCCCTTCCAGACAGACTTCAGAGTCTGCCACAGATCGGTCTTTCGTGTGCACGTTTGAGTAACAGACCAGTGAGTGCGGCCAGGCGGGCTCTGGGCACCGCTTGGGAGCGGTTGTCGCTTCTTTTGTGGCCCATGAGGGGACCATGTCGAAGACTGAGGCTCTGAAATAGCATCCTCGGGTGACACCCTCCTGCCTCTGTTTCTGCTTCTGGGCCCCCCTGGCCCACCAGCAGGTGCACACGCTGACGTGGACTTGGCAGCCTGGGTCATAGCCCGTGGTAAGGACTCTAAATTCTTCAGAAAGCTTCTGGGGACCCTCTCTGGGCTTAGAAGTCTCTTTAACTATTGCCCTTAGTTTGGCCTTTGGCCAAAGAGGAAAAGACTCTGAGAGAGACTCCTGGACCTCCAGCGGGTTTATTTCAAAAGGTAACTGTGTCTGCAGGGTCCACAAAGCATGAGGACTCGGGTCAGGGAGGAAGGAGCCAGCAGGAGGGGTCGCGTCAGGCTCCCTGCCTTTTGTTTTGGGCACCTGTCTTTCATTTGTCATTAGCTTTCGGTAATGAACCTTTGAATGGAGCTTTTCTGGAATCGTGAAGCCTTTCGGAAGCTTCTGCATCATAATCAAACTAAGTATTCCATTCTGTTCATGTCATCTTGGGCAACCTTGTTTCCAAATCCACTTCTGAAATAAACAATCCTAATTTGAACCTCCTCCGTAATGGCCATTGGAATTTTAGGTTGTTTTTACTAAGATTTTGCCGTTTTTGGAGATATTTATAGCTCTGGGACCGTACTTCTTAGACGTAAAATAAGCAGGTATGACAGAAGATAGCACACTAGAGTTTTCGGGGCTTAAGGAGCTTTTTTTTTTTTTCTTAGCTAAGCCTTTGGGGTTCCTCAGAGCCAAGTAATACCCAAGAGGGATGTGCTGCTAGGTTGGGGACTGTGCACGTTTTACAGCACAGCTCATTGTATGGAAATTTTCTTGAGGTTGGCAGGTGACCTAGAGTCAACCTAACCTGTTCTGTGACCAACTTGTCCTAACACCGTGACGGGTGCTCTACCAGTTTTTAAGGATCCGACCAGACCCACCAATTTTTGTGGCTCTTTGGGTCCCAAGTCCCCATTAGCAATAGCCTTTATCTATAAAACAAGACACACAACAGGGCACCTAGGGGGCTCAGCTGGTTAAGCCTCTGACTTCGGTTCAGGCCATGATCTCGCCGTTCGTGAGTTCCAGCCCCACGTCGGGCTCTGTGCTGACAGCTCAGAGCCTGGAGCCTGCTTCGGATTCTGTGTCTCCCTCTCTCTCTGCCCTTCTCCCACTCGCACTCTGTCTGTCCGTCTCTCTCTCTCTCTCAAAATAAACACTGAAAAATTTTTTAAAAAATAAAAAAGCAAGACACACAGCACGTGCAGATTAACACAACAGCAGATTCCCAACCCGGAACGGGGGACGAGGGAATGCACTGATCCAGCAGACCCCAAAAGTGAGGTCAGGGGACAGGACTGGGCTTTCAGACGAAAGGGAAGTGTAGCTAGGACGTCAGTGAGACTGGAGCTCGCCGCAGAGGGCAGAGCTCAGGGCCCGTGTGGACCGGCCCACGACCCTCAAGATCCTCTACCCCAAACAGCTGCAGACCGGAGACAGCAGTGCTCTGCGCCAGGCAGAGCAGGACCCCCAGCAAAGACCTAAAGTCCGTAGGTAAGTGTCCACCTGAAGAGCAAGTGAAAGACACCACAGAGGAGAAAGAGAAGATAGAAACACGGCGGAGAGGAGCGAACTTCTGACACGTGAGGCAGACACGTGCTGAGAATACCAGATGCACAGAAGTACGAGGTACGCATTGCGCGACTCCCATCCTATGAAACTCCAGAAGAGGCAAAAACAATCTACGGTGATAGAAATCAAAGCAGTTTTGTAGTGATGGAGATTGACTAGGAAGGACCGTGAGCGAGCTCGCCGGGGGGGGCGGAATGTGTTCTCACTCTTGGTGGGCTGACAGGAGCGCGGGTCGGCACATCTGTCAGAGTTCATTGTGCCGCTCGGGAAAGATCTATGCCTCACGCTGTGAGTTAAGCCCCCCTCGGTAGACATACTTACAACCCAGACTTATCGATGGCCAACAGACACGTGAAAAGATGCTCGACATCACGCATCGTCCGGGAAATACCAATCGAAGCCGCAATGAGATACCGCCTCACACCTGTCAGAATGGCCAGACTCAAAAAAACCAGAAATATCACATGCTGGCGAGGACGCGGAGCCGAGGGGGTCCTCGCCCACTGTTGGTGGGAAGGCAAACTGGCACGGCTGCTGTGGAAGGCAGCCCGGAGGGTCCTCAAAAAAAACAAAACTGGAAGTACCAGATGATCCAGTATTTATCCAAAGGAAAAAAGACACTAACCTGAAAATACCTGCACGGCTACATTTGCTGCAGCGTTATTTACAACAGGCAAGATACGAAAGCAGCCCCAGTGCTCATCCACAGAAGAATGGATAAAGAAGGGGTCTCTATACCCGGCGGAGTACTACTCAGCCATGAAAAAGAATGAGGTCCTGCCATTGACAACAGCACGGAGGGACCTAGAGAGTACTGTGCTGCGTGAACGAAGTCAGACAGAGAAAGACAAATACCCTATGATTTCACTCCTATGTGGCATCTAAGAAAACAAACCAAGTGAACAAAGAAACAACAACCCAACCAGACTCCTAAATGCACACAACTACCAAGAGGTCTGCTGGTGGCCGGAGGAGGGGGGGGGGGGGCCGGGGAAAATAGCCAAAGGGGTTGTAGAGGTGCAAACCTCCAGTTACAAAATGAGTAAGGCACGGGGATGAGAAGTACAGCAGAGGGAATACAGTCCGTAGTATTGTACCAACGCTGTATGGCGACAGGTGGTGACCACGCACGCCGTGGTGAGTGCCGTGCGCTGTATGGAAGCGTCGAATCTCTTCGCTACACACCTGAAACTTCCAGGACATCGTGTGTTAATTAAACCTCAATAAAAAAAAAACCTTTAAGCCTTGGGGCACCTGGGTGGCTCAGTCGGTTGAGTGTCCGTCCAACCTCAGGTCAGGTCATGATCTTGCGTTCGTGAGTTCGAGCCCCGCGTCGGACCCTGTGCTGACAGCTCAGAGCCTGGAGCCTGAATCAGATTCTGTCTCCCTCTCTCTCTGCCCCTCCCCCACTCATGCTCTCTCTCTCAAAAATAAATGGACCTCAAAAAAATTTTTTTTATTCTTTAAAACTTGACTAATTTTTAACTTTGGAAACAGGTTTGTTCCCCAAACTCAGATATTCCTTTTTTTTTTTTTTTAAAGTAATGTAGTGCCCACCCTATATATTCTACAAACACCCTTAGCAGGGTCTGGGGCAGATGTGGAATCAAATACATTAATATCTCTGCTGCAGACACATACAAAATTCACACTAATTCCCATAAATAGTGTCACATCGGTTTGGATCAGCGTTTACCACCAAATGAGGTTGCTTCAAAGCCATGAAAAAGCGTTTAATTTTCTGGGGTTTTGAATGTGAATCTCGGATGAGGAGCTGTAGCACTGGCACAGGCAGCACTTGAAGGAAACATGACAATAGGCGAGAACCCAGGGCTTCCGGGTGGCCCGGGGCCCACGGTGTTCGGCAGACATCTGTCCTGGGGGCAGGGAGGGTGGGGAGCCAGTAGGTCCCGTTACAAACAGGCCAGACTCGGGGCAAAACCCGGGCAGACGAGAGCGGGGAGCAATGTCCATTTCAGGCCATTTCAGGGCCCCCCCGCCCCGCCTCGCCCCACCCTGCCCTACCCTACGCTACCCAACCCTCCCCAGCATCGCCGGAGAGGGCGCTAAAGGTCCCACCTGCAGGGGGCGCTCTCGGCGGGCTTGCATCCAGCCCCGCGGCAGAATGGATACCCCTGTGCTCCAACCAAGGCACCTATGAGTGCTCCTCTAGGATAAATTCCTAGAAAGGGAGTCCCTTGGGGAAATGTACACACGTTTTAAATTTTAATTGATGCCTGCCAAAGGCTTCACCAAAAAAAATAGAGAGAGAGAGAGATCCCTCACCTTCCCACCGAAGGACACTTCCTTGCTGACATCCAGCAAGTTTATTTTTTGCCAGTCTCATATCATCTTAATTTCCGTTCCTCAGATATTAGCAAGGCTGAGGTGATAGCCTGTCACGTGTGTGTGCTTTCACTATTTCTAAGCGGACCGTTGCCTTTTTCTTACTAGCTTATGAAGTGCTCGTTATCATCGATATTAACCCTTGGCAGGAGGTTGTAGGAAACAAAAACACAAGCCAACACAATTTACTGCATCTTTCAACCGAATTTATGGTGGTTTTGCTGAACAAACTTCGGAAAACGTTCACCTTCACACCCATCAGTCGTTTTTTCTATAAAGATCTGGAGGCTTGGGATCATATCTAGAAGGGGTACCCCCGCCCCAAAGGACCTGGGGATCAAAATCTCGGACTTGAACTGTGGGATCCGGGAACAACGAAATAAAGAAATCTTGTAGTCGTCATATGTTAGAGCAAAACTTCTAGGACTTTATATTTAGAAGCCACACTCCTTCGTCTCTCTGATCCCACATTCATTCAAAACCATTTTACTGGAGCATCGACTACATGCCAGGCACAGTTCCAGGTGCCGGGAGACGGCCTGGCACCCACACTCGGGCCGGGCCGCCTTCACCTGACGCTCACTGAGCATCTGTGACGTCTGGGCCCCTGCCCGGTGCCGGGGACATGGGCAGGCTCCTGGTTTCAGCCTCTCCTTGAACACCTCCAGGGAAGGGAATCTCAGGGAAATCAGAGGGCGGGCCCTGGAGACTCAGGAAGAAAGGCAAGAGAATGACGGAGTCAGGGCTCTGAGTGACCAGGGCGGGCCGGGGCTGGTGGAGGCCTCAGCCCCAGCCCGCGGGGTGGAGGGAGTGACCACTCCGGCCCTGCCCACTCCTATCTGCTCACAGATGGCGGGAAAGTCCGTCCAGTTCCTGAACATGGACAAGTGGTCCAAGGAGCTGTTGTCGGCACTCACCAAGCCTGACCAGACGCATCAGGAACAGCCCCCGGAGAAGGTGGATCACCCCCTGTGTCCCCCGCCCCCTCCAGGCAGCCCCAGGGACTCTGTCCATAGGATGCCACCTAAGCAAGGCCGAGGCCCCAGAAGGACACTGAGACCCGAAAGAAACAAAGGGCCAGGGGCCTGTGCAGCCGGATTTGATGTGGCACCGTTAAAACCCGTCAAAACTAGGCAGGGGCATGAGGGTCCTAGAGCAGGGGTGTGAGGACAGTTACAGGAGCCCAGGGAGGCCATCGGGGTGGACAGAGGTGGGTCAGACCCAGGACAAGAAGCCAAACCTCCCCCCAGACCTTTCTGTTCATCTACTACGGGCTGATCCTTCAAAACGAGGACAATGCCACCACTGTCAGGACACACCTGAGAACCCTCCTGGACACATCCCACCAGTGGCCCAAGCAGCGGGAGGTGAGGACCCGGCCCCCAGCCTAGCCCACAGCCGCCTGACCCTGACCGCAAGCTTAGCCTGATCCCTGCTCGTACCCTGAGCCCTGGTCAGGCCAGACAAAGACACCTGATCCTTTTCACACCCTGAGTCCTGACCCTGGTCACACCCTGAGCCTACCATAACTTGGTAGGTCCTCTCCTCTGTCACACATCTATTTCCTGGACCCTCCTTCCCTCCTCTGGCCCAGGCTCAGAGCTAGTGGGGGCAGGGGGAGTTTACAGACCTCCAGAGAGTCACTGCTCCCCCCTGCCTCCCACACCACCCACCCGCCCCCATAAAAGATGCCCTCACAGGGTTGGGCCAGAGCTGCATGTCCTGAAGAGTGGCGGGGGGGTGGGGGGGTGGGAGGGGGTCCCCGTGACCTTGGACGAGTCCCCTCCCTTTCTGGGCCTCAATTTCCACACCCCCAGGCGAGAGTCCAGGCGTGGTCCTGTGACCGGCACCAGTGACCCTGCTCCCCCGCATCTGTAGGGTATCGCGCTCACCGTCGGGCTGGCCGCGACCCGCCACCTGGACCACGTCTGGGCCGTCCTAGAGCAGTGTGGCCGGAGCACACCCGTTAAATGGAGCCTCCACAGCTTCTGCCTGAAGGTTCTGGCTCTGGGGCGGTTGGGGGCCTCAACGAGGGGCTGGGCATCAGGACCCCCACCCTCTACACGGGCCTGGGCGTCAGAGAGGGTCTCTGGGGATAGTTAGGGGCACAGGCTCTGGACCAAGCCTCCTGGCCTCCAGTGCCACCTGCAGCGTGACCCACGTGCCTCAGTTTCTCCTCTTGAATAACAATTCCTCCCTTCCCAGCCATTGGGATGGAAACGTGGCTTTGAAATGTCTGGCACACGGCAGGTGCCCCGGTGACATCTCGCAGTGGCTGTGCTGGCCGCTGTGTTTATTAATGGCCTTTTGACACGTGCCCTGCCTGTAACATGAGACGAGGGCCAGAGGGCGACCTTGTGCCCCTGCTGATGGGCGGCATGCCCCCCCTCCCCCGTCCTTGCTGCACCCCTGGTCACTCCTGCGGGCAGAATCAGTGTCTGGGGTTGCATGAGGGAGCTCAGGACAGATGGGGGGAAGAGTCACAGGTAGCACAGACAGCCCAGCGGGGACCAGCCACCTCCTCGGGCCCCACAGCCGGCAGGTGGCAGAGCAGGGACTAGAACCCATATCTCCAGCCCTCAGAGGGGGCCTAGTCACTGACAGGGAATGGAGGCAAGTGGTCCTCAGGTGACATCGGAAGGGTGTCTCAGATGTCCCCCCCCACTCTCTGGGCCTCCCTCGGGTCCGAAGGTCCAGAGCCCCATTACCATCTCCCTAGGTTGAGGCATGGCCTGCCGGGCCCCCAGCAGCCCAAAGGGGAAGTGGGCCCCCGGCTCCGGGGGAGGGGGCTACGCCAAGGCAGGCAGCGTGAGGGGCTAGGACCCTGGCCAGTTCTGGGAGAGCCGAGTGCCTCGCACACACCTCGGGTGACCCCACAGTCCCGGGTAAACTGAGACTCGCAACCCCTCAGAACCCTTGCCCGCGGTACCCGCTAGGGTGCAGAGTACTTCCTGTCGCCGCTCCCCCAGGGGTGGGCCAGGGGGACCCCGACGCCCTTTGTCTGTCCCCACCAGGGTCAGAAATCAGAGGACCCAAAGTGGAGGTGGGCCAGCAGCACCATGCTCCTCGCCTACGGTCAGATGGCGGTCAAGGCCAAGGCGCACATCCTCCCGTGGGTGGACAACATCTTGTCACGGATGGTCTTCTACTTCCACTACAGCTCCTGGGTATGGCTCCCCGGGGCCACCCCTCTGGAGCCCAGCCTTGACACAGCCCAGGCCCCACCAGAACCTGGGCCAGAGAATGCTAGGACCTTCCAGGGCCTTGGGGCACTCCTCCCCACCCTTATCTGACTCTGAAACCAGGAGGAGCCAGGCCCGGCCTCCTCGTTGTCCCACCTACTCACCCCGTCGTCCCACCCAAAGCTTCGAGGGCTTCCGTGGCGGCCCCACCCCCACATTCTCCTTGGCTTTCACTCTGGGGCGTTGGAAGGCCCAGTGATGCCCCATCCCCTCCCCAGGACGACGGCCTGCTGACTCTGTACTCCGCACCCAGGGCGTCCACCCCAGGGGGCTAAGAGGACCAGGCAGCCCGGTCAGGCCATCGCATCCCTCAGATCGTTGGGCTCTGGGTTGCCCACACATCGAGTGAGGCCAGACATTGGCTTCTTACTCCTGACCTTGACATGTTGTCAACATATTCACATTTTTAAACAAAACCACACAGCTCCCCCCTCAAAGTCCTACCTATGTGGCCCAGCTGCAGATCTCTACCGTACTCCCTCAGCAATGCCCTGCAGCCACATGTGATGGTGGCGCGCTCTCCTGCCTGTCCTGTGCCCCCTCTATCCCCCGCTCCATGGCCTGACCCCCATGCCCCCATGCCAGGACGAGACCTTGAAGCAGAGCTTCCTCACCGCCATCTTCATGCTGGTGGGGGCCATCAGCCGCAATGAGGGGGCCCACAGCTACGAGTTCTCCCAGATCTCAGAGCTTCTTGAGTGTCTGATGGTGAGTCAGGGTCCTGGGGCAGAGGAAGGGGACCCATGAGAAGGAGGAGACTCCTCCCTCGGGCCAGCAGCATCCACAAGAAGCAGGTGTTGGAAAGGGGCAAAGATGTTGGATTTCTGGGGTGTGTCCAAGCCCCTCATAGGCTCTGGCACCTGGGAGCGCTCCATGCCCCCCACTTCTCTTGGTTCTTCAGGGACCCTGAGCCGGCCAGTTGTGTCCACCTCCCAGCTGATGTGGCTGAGGCCCAGAAAGGCCAGCACCATCCACTCTGCTAGCACCATCCCAGCTCAGACCACTGCTCACTAGAGATTTCAGGCTTACAGAACCCCAGGGTAGTGGAGGAAACACACAACTGCTGGACAATTACAACTGTAATAATAAAGTAACAGTTTACTGAGCTCCCATTCACTGAGCTCCTGCTGTGACTCAGACACTGTGCTTTGCACACGTTGCTTCACACCTGACACGTGTGCAACAACACTCTGTTATTTAAGTAACAGAGTAAGCAAAGCTTGGGGCAGTGTGGAGACTTGCTCAAGGTCGTGCAGCCAGTATGTGGCGGTCAGGGTGCAGACGTGACCTGTCTCACTCTAAAGGCTGTGCTCTAGTTCTCTAAGTGCAGCCAGGCCACAGAGGCCCCCGTGGGTGGGTGGGAAGCTGGACCATGATCCCGTGGGCCATGGGGTGCCAGGCACTGGGTTCTTCAGCCAGGGATGAGACTTGGTGTCAGAAGTGTGATAAGCCCAGGCCTGAGTCACTCAGCCTTCACCTGTGGATCTACAGGTCTTGATGGAGAAGGAACCCCAGGACACACTGTGCACGTCAACTTGCCAGCAGACCATTCACATCATCTCCAGCCTCTGGTACGCTCCCCAGCCCCGCCCAGGGTCAGGCCCCAGTTCAGGCCTGTAAGAGGCTCTCAATAAACAGTTTGGCTATTGTGATTAATTCACACCTCAAAGAATGAAAGTTTAGCATCATTTGCCCAAACAGAGCCACTGAAGGTCCCAGGGGTGTAGCCAGGGCTGGGATGAGACCAGTCTGTCCAGTAAAGGGGAGCCTGAGGTACAGGGCTTATGAAGCATCTGCTCCCAACCAGGCCATGCTAGTCCCTTACAAAGCCTCCTGGAATTCAACCTGCCCAGGAGGCCCTGCAGGCCAGCGAGGCAGAAGTGCACATTTGAGTCTCTGGTCAAGGACAGAACTGGGTGAGGGGCTGCTGCTCGGGGCTTGTCAAATCTGGTCTATTCTGGCTGGGGGCCCCTTTGCAATCACCGGCCCCCACACCCCTCCCTCACTGCCCTCTACCTCTAAATAGTAAACTGAGGCCGCCCCTGGACTTGAAGAGGAAATCACGGCTTCTGTCCGTCTGCCTCCGCAGTGTGTTCGCCCTGCCACTGATGGACGTCCTGAAGAAACACACCTGCCTCTTCCTGGAGCCACCCAACATACAGGTGTGAAGCTGGCTCATGTACCCCTCCAATGAGAGGGGCCCCTTGGGCAGGCATCCGGCTCTGCCTGCTGTTCGTGGCTTTGGAGGGGGTGCAGGCTAGATGGCAGAGCCTTTGACCCCCCATAGGATAGGGCTGGGGACCCTGAGCGTGTTTCTTAACTTCTCTGAGCCTCCATTTGCCCAACTGTGACATGGGGGTGATAAGTGTGGAGCTAACAGTACTTAATTCTCCAGATAAAAGGGGACACTGGTGTCCCATGTCTGGTGCACAGGGTGCTCTACAAATAGGAGTATAAGTGACCTCTCTCCCTGCCCGCCCAGAGAGCAGCCCTGGGCTGTCTCACTACTTAACTGGTCTCGCCCCACCCAGGCCCCAGCAGGCCCATCCTTTACGGGGCCGGATGCCCCCCTCCGCACCTCATGGGCTCTGCAGAGGGCATAAACCCATCCCCCTGGGGCACCACCAACACCTGCTGCCCGAGTGTTTACCCTAAAGGGCAGGGAACTGGTGTTAACCGAGCACCTGCTTTGTGCCAGGCCCTGTGTGTATGTTAGCTCACCTTCCCAGCAGCACTTGTCGACAGGGTGAGGAAACCAGCTCAGAGAAATGGAAGTGTCTGGTGTGGGAGTCGGGGTAGAACCCCACTCCTGCCCTCTGGCCGGGTCCAGACTGGACCGGGACAGATAGGCACTCTGGATGGGGAGAGTGCAAGGGGTGCCCTGGGCCCAGGACAACACCACGGCAGCAGCCCTCCAGAAGGCCAGGGCCTGTCCCCACTCCAACCTTGCAGGAGCCTAAAGTGCCCCCATTACCAGATGACAGTGTCATGGCTGGCTCACCTAGGGAGCTTAGCCGGGTCCCAGAAGGTAGGCTGGGGGCTCCTGCTCCTTCCCATTCAATGTGCATCGGCACCCAGCAGGTGGGGCTGACCTCACAACCAGTTCTCACGTGACCAAGGTGGGCTCAGAGAGCTGAAGTGAGTTCTCCAGGGCTCCCAGGGAGTGGACAGCCCGCGCCCAGGGCTCTGCTCTGACAGGAGGCGGGCTGGGCACTTTCTCTGGCTGGCTCCCTCCGTGAGCACGCCCGGTGAGCCGAGCAGCAAACATTGGGGGTCTCGTGTGAGACCCAGGAGGCAGGACAAGCTGCGTAATTTGCCCCAACTAATGCAAAATGAAAATGCGGGCCCTTGTTTGAAGCTTAGGAAGAGTTTCAAGATGGGACCGCAAAGCGGGAAACCAAGCACTCGAGGATCCTTCTGGGTGCCAGGTCTCGCGCAGGTTGCTTGCCCGAGAAGCCAGCCCTGCTGCAAAGGAACTTACCTTGGCCACAGAGAAACTGTAACCTTGGGCAGGTCTGACCCAGACTGCCCCCGCCCAATCTCCCAGCTGCCCAAATGGGGCTTGTGCCGGGGCCCTTCCTGGGTGTGGTGTGAACGCACGTGGTGTGCAGCCTGGCCACAGGGGTGTGCAGGAAGGGGCACCACTACCATGGAGAGGCCAATGCACTGGGGCCCTGCAGGAGGCCTTGGCCCGCAATCGCAGCCGGGGCCTGGCGGCTGCCCTGACCTGCCCCACCCCCCCTGCACAGACCCTCTACAACAAGACCTTGGAGGCCCTGGACCAGATGCTGCAGAGCCTCATCATGCAGAACCCTACGGCCGACGAGCTGCACTTCCTGCTGTCGGTGAGGGGCGGTGGCTGGCACAGTGCAGGGGCGGGGCCGGCACAGGCCGGGCGGAGGATAGACAAGGGAAGGTGCCCGGAGGAGGCAGGGTCTGAACTCCAGGTGGCAAGTGGCCCATGAACTTGGAGGCTTGAGGGCTGTCCATTTTCAGGGATCACAGCGGCTTGGGAGAACTGGAGGGCAGGACGGCAGGTGCACCTGGTGGGAAGTGGGCCTTGAGTGCCACACTTGAGGGGGGCTGCTGAGGAAGCAGGCTGGGACCTGACCTCCCTCCCCTGAGACCTCGTTCTGCCGCCATGTCTCCAGCTGTGAGGAGGGCTCTCACAAGCCCAGCACCCCCACCCTCTCACCTTGACCGGAGTGAGACCAGTCAACAGGCAGGGACAGTCCAGGGGCAGGGGAGGAACCAGAGATAGGACACTGGCTCAGCTGGGAGGGTTGGAAGTCAGGGCCAGTGGACTTCACCTGAATGAGGACCAAGGAAGTCATGGGGTAGAGAAGGGAAGGGAAGGGCCCAGCAGGCAGAGGGCCCCGCCGAGGGGTGAGTAGCCTGTGTGAGCCCAGGATCAAGACAGACAGAGATTCTGCATGGCTGCAGCGTGGGGAGGGCGCTAAGGTGGCGGCTGGGGGTGAGGAGGGGGGTTAGGGTTAGGTTAGGTCCAGCCTGGAGGCCTTGTGGGGGCGAGGGGAGCCACAGAAGCAGGGGCCCCCAAGCTGGGTGCACCGATGGAAGTCTGGTGTGTGCCTGGCGGGGGTGGGGGAAATGTCTGCATTTTCACTCACCCCCTTCCCCCCCCACCGGGAAAGTAGTGTGTCCCCTCCCCCTGGCAATGTTGGCGACAAACCACAGCAGTGCCGGGAGTGGCTGTGTTTGCCACCGATGGAAGTCACAGATGTGGTCATAGGACATTGCTGGGTCACAGAATCTCCAAATACCGTTTCCTGCATCCGACGTCAGAATCACTGACTGACTATAAGCATCCGTCGCTTTAACAAAGAGGCTCAGATTTGGCTTAAAACTGTTCAGTGTAACTGTTCCAATATGTGTTTGCATCCCTTTGTGACTCCGTGCAATTATGTTGCGCACAGAAAAGCACTGTTCTGTAAAGGGGTGCGTGTCGCCAAAGGGGTTCAAACCCAGGGGCCTCCAGGGGCTTTGAGCAGGAAACGACCTCTCCTCTCTGGCAGAGCTGTCTGGAGCAGAGGGGTCAGGAGAGGCTGAGCAGAGGGACAGGGGAGGGCAAGACCTGGGGAGCGTTGGACGCGGAAGGGGCGGAGCCATGGACCAGGGTGGGCGAGGCCTGAGTCGGGGGTGGGCAGGGCCCTGCTGAGGAGGCGGGCCTGAGGTGAGGGGCGTGGCTGGACCGGGCGTGGTCTCGGCCAGGGTGGGTGTGGCCTGGGTCCCGGGCAGGGCGGAGCCTTGCTGGCCAGCTAACCGATTGGGGGGCGGGGCCTGAGCCGAGAGGTGAGCCCGGGGCTGAGCAGGGGGTGGCCCCCGCGGAGCCGGGGGACGCGGGGGTGCGCGGCTGCAGCACCCCCTCTCTGCCCCTGCCCACCCGCAGCACATGTACACCTGGCTGGCGTCGGAGAAGACACACGAGCGGCAGCGGGCTGTGCACAGCTGCGTGGCCCTCCTCGGATTCCTGAGCCACGACCTCTACCTGGATGTGAGTATCCAGCTCGCAGGCCCCGTGCCCCACGGCCCCTCTGCGGCCCCAACCAGGCCACCCTCCTCGGGCTCGTGGGGTTCCAGGCCCCCTGGACCTCTGCCACCAGGACAGCGCGGATCCCTAAGTGCCCTACAACACGGCCATGCAATCCCCCTTTCCACGCACACCAGGGAACAGGCTGGGGGCGGAGATTGGGGCCCCCTGCTCAGGTCCTCCCAGCTGGGCTCTGAACCCAGATGCCTGGACCCCTGACGCAGCAGGCTGGGCTCCTGTCAACGCGCCTTGAAGCCTCGGGCAGGTTCCTCTACGCCCTGAGCCTCAGTGTCTCACCCATGAAATGGGAGGAAATGAGTCCTCAGAGGGGTGCGGCCCTGCCCCAGTCCAGGTCAGTGGTGACTGCGGCAACAGTCGCCATCCACCGCGACCCCCAGCGGGTCATGCCTCACAGTCTAACCGCCATCTGTCGCTGGAGCCCTTGGGCTGAATGAAGGCGGCACCATCAGGGAATGAGTGCTTCTGCGTTTATCAGCCAAAATCAGCACTAATTCCTTAGGTAGATTCATGGGACGTTGAGAAAATTAGTTTCTCTGCACGTTGCCCGGCCGGCGTGTGTTTCTAATGAAGGCGGAGAGGTGGGCATGGGGGGCAGGGGGGACGGGAGGGAGAGCTCCCTGCACAGACGCCTCCTTCATTCTCAGGGTGAGGGGGACCCCTCTAGAGGGGCTCAAGGGGCCTGCAGTTCATTCAAAATCGATTTCTGCAACCCAGGACCCGGACTGCGGCCGGGGCAAGTGAGGCGCTGACCTGGGGTGCAAAATTTACCCGGACACCAAAACACCCCCACAATCAAGATAAATAAGGTGGTGTTTTAAAGCAATCTACTCAGCAAATGGCGGCAGCTGTGGGCTGGCTGCCTGTTGTTATAAATAAAGTTTTATTGAAACCAGGGTGGGGGTTAGGGCCAGGAGAGTGAAGCCCCATGAGGTAAGGTGGTGGTAATGCAGGGCCAGGCCGTCTCTAGGTACAGTTTTGAAACTGTGTGCATCAGGAATTGTTACATTCATTTTGACTTTTTGAAATATTGCATTAAAGTATTCTTTCTCTTCGTTTCTGAGTTTGGGGTCAGCCCCTTAAGTTGTGCCCTGAGCTGTTGACTATAGCGGCCCGACTGGGTGGGCAGAGCCTGGGCCTGGGGTCCCGAGAGCTGAGTCCCGGCCCTGCCACATGGTTGGAGGGGATGCATTCTGATGCTGGCCGAGCTGGGGTGAGTGCACAGCAGAGGGGAGACCCCACGGTAGGGTCTGCATTCTGTGGTTCCCATACTATCGCTGCAAACAAAAGAGGACTTCAGGAGGACTGGGCAGCTGGTGGGCGTGCTGGGGATTTTGTGCCAGGACCCTGACAAGGCCACCCGGCACTCCAGCCTGGAAGGGGTGGGCCACCTCTACCAGCTCCTGATGCGCCAGAGAGGTGAGCCTCCGAGGGCCACCACGGTGGACCCACGGCCACCCTGACCACAGCCTCAGCTGAGACCACACCCACACTGCTGAACACAGCCCATCCCAGATCTGCCCCCAAACCCACCTCTAACCCCAGCCACGGCCCTGGAACGCCCCCCGCCCCCAGGCCCACTCACACTCCCGACCCCATAAGGGCACAGGCCTGACCCTGGCTACACGCGACCCCACCCTAACTCTTGCCTGTCCCAACCTAGACCCCAGCCCACCTCTGCCCCGCCCTCACCCTCGCCCAATCCCGCCCCTGGCCAGCGAGGGAACTTCCAAACGTGGAGGCGCAGGCCCCCAAGCAGCTCTCCCAGGCCAGCGAGGATGGGGCCCCCATCTGGAGCAGCGGAGACCAGCAGACAGCTCCCCCCACCCCCCGTGAGATGGCATTCCCGAAGGACCACATCTTCCAGCTTGGCAGCTCCCAAGTCATCAAGGTCAAAGCCCTTAGAATGGTGGATAGGTCCGGGTGGGGGGAGGCCTGGCCGTGCTCTGCTCCGACCCCCCACCACAGGGCTTTCAGCTGTTGGGGTGGCCCTACTGCACCCCTGGGGGGGGGGGGTCAGACCCCGAGCCAGGTGTAAGTATTAAAACCAAGGCCGGGATCTCACCTGTGTCTCTGGTGGTTAACTGAGAGTGTTTGGAGAAGTCCGTGGCCCCTGGCCTGGGACCTGGGAGTTGGGGGAGGGGGGATTGGAGGGAGAGACCAGGGACAGACCCTGGGGTCAGCAGCCCAGGCCTGAGTCCCAGCTCTGTCCCCCACGGCTGTGCAGCCCAGACAAGCCCTCTCCCCTCTCTGAGCTCCCAGCTTTCTCCGTAAAATGAGCAGGCTGGCATTGTAAAGTCCTGGCCACCATGAGCACCCGGTAAATGGTGGTGTCGGGACAGCTCCCAGGTGTTCTCTGAGGCACCAGATGGCACCCTTCTCTGTAAGTCTGGCTTTTGCGGGATGAGAATTCTGCAGAAATATCCCTGAATTCCTCATTTTCCCGGGGGCCTCTCAACCCTCTGAAAGCCAGACCCTCTTCCTATGAAGGCAGAGCACGTCTCTTCTTGCACAGTCACCTCGTCTACCTCAATCAGCCTCTCGGTCAGCAGCCTGGGGGAGCCCAGCAGTTCCCCCAAGGCCCTTCTCATCACCCCAGGGAGGTCCCATAACTTTATGACATCCTCTGCCTGATCTGTGTTCTCTTCTGAACATGAGCGAGTCTGAGGCACTGAGTGTGGGCCGGATGCCGGTGTTAACTCGACAAGCCATGTTTCCTGGAGCCTCATGTTCTGGGTGGGCAGTCCGTGATGTCTCCACGGGTCCTTCCTGGTGTTGAGCCCATGACTGACAAAGACCCCTGTCCTTGGCATTCTGATCGGTCTCCCCCTGTTAGACCTTGAGCACTCCAGGCCAGAGGCAGGGTCTTGCCGGGGCTCAGTGCGGGGCCTGGTGGTAGAGCCAGCCTTTGACAGATACCCATCAAGTTGAACCAAATGAAGAAGTGTTTGCACGCAGCTGGTAAGGGCTACAAATATTCCATTAAAATTATTAAAATTACTTTAACCTTCTAACCAGCAGCTAATCCTAATATTCTCACAGACATTTTACCAAAACTTTACAATAATGATTCTAATAAATATTCTACCATCTGTTATTTAACACTTATTTTTATATCCAATAAAAATACAAACATCCTAACAGACTTTCAGACATTTCACCAAATAGGCTAGCATGCAAAGAAACATGTTACCTCCTTCAACATCCTTTCAGACTTCAAACCTTTCTGTCAGCCCCTGTCACCAGCATTCTATCTTCCTCTATCAGACGCTCCAGTCGCAGCCTTCCAGTAGAACTTTCCAAAAGGGTACAAGTGTCTCTGTCCACACTGTCCAACGTACCCAGTACTGAGCACTGGAAATGTGGCTAGTGCTGCTGAGGAACTGAGGTTTTCAATGTTAATTAAGTTTCAGTTTAAATAGGTACGTGTGGCTGGTGGCCACCATATTGAGCAATAATGCTCGAAGTCTTTCTGGAAGGTTCCACCTGGGCCAGCCTCGGGCTGTCAGAGACTATAGTCTGAGGCTATGGAGCAGGGGTCCCACCCACCACCTTGCATTTCCTCCAGAGCCTCTTTATCACCCCAAGCGGCTCACGGTCTGGACTTAGAGTCACTCTTGGGAGAACACGGGCAGAGGCCAGTTGGGCTCTTGGGGAGGCCCTAGCACAGGACGGGAGCCCTGGGCTCTGGAGCCAGCCTGTGCTGTGGTAAGGGCATCCACGCGCCTCTCTGGGCCTAGGGGGTGACCCAGGCGACCTTGAAGACCCTTCACAACTCTGAAGTTCAAGTGCTCTTTGTTAAAATCATGGAAGGAGGGCTGGGGCTTGGCCTGGGGAGCAAGCACCCAGCGGGACGGAGGCTGGCAGCTGAGGAAGCCCACGAGGCGAGGACAGGGCAGAGGAGGGGAGGAAAGGAGGCTGGCGGGGCCGTGCAGGTCCCAGGACAAGCACTGGGTCTGAGTGAGGAAGGGAGCCCTGCCTCTGCCCTACCGTGGGCGTCTCTCTCTCCCTTCCTGCCCCCGGGCCGTGGCTGGCTCAGAGACATGTGCAGGTGATCACGTGTGATCCCGGAGGAGAGGGGCTCAGAATTACGGGGTGCTCAGAAACCCGAGTGGCCTGAAGCAAAGGAAAAGGGAAGGCAAAGGCAGGAGCGGACACCTGGGCACGCGTGACCCACAGTGACGGCTGCCCGCGCTCCTGCCGGTACAGGAGGTCATGAAGCATCTCACGGTGGCAGAGCTGACCGACCTCATCTGGACAGCCATCGACGGACTGGGATCCCCCAGCTCCTTCCGCGTGCAGGCGGCCGCCGACATGCTGCTCCTCGCCATCCAGGAGCACGGGGCCGAGCTGGAGACGGTGAGAGGGCCGGGGCACCCGCTGAGGGTGGGCCGGGACGGGTCTGGGGGCAGAGGGACGCCCGCAGCCAGCACCTGAAGCCAGCGTCTCTGGGCCAAGGCAGCGTCCCCGAGCTCAGCCCCGATGGGGGAGCCACAGACCCCACCCTGACAAGTTCCACTGAATGAATGAGTGAGTGAATGAATGAACGAACGAACAAACGGCCCAAGCAGGTGTCCTGGGGCCCTGAGTGGTGTTTGCAGGCTCGAGAGGCACACGTGCGCTGATAGAACAACCGCTCCAGGCTCTGGCGCAGCACATGGGGGAGGAGAAGGCACAGACCTTTCCAGAAGTTCCCGGTCCAATGGGCGGGGCAGACACGGACAGATAAGGACTGAACAACGTAGGAAGTGCACCCAGTGGGGTGGGGGGGGGGGGCCCCCGGGAAAAGGACGATTGATGACGCGTCCTGCAGATGGGGAAGCCCCAGGCGGGTGAGCAAGGGCACCGAAAGTGGAAGGCGAGGGGCGTTCCAGGCTCCCAGAACAGCGTGTGCCCAAGTGGCCTGCTCGGGAGGTGACGAGGCCGGTGTGTCTGAGCCTTCCGGTGACTGGGCAATGTTTGGACAGAGTTGGAGGGCCTCTCGTGCCAGGGGGAAAGGTGGTGGGACCTCTCTCCCCGCAGCCTGGGACTCCCCTTCTGACCAGGCATCTGGGGCGGGGACGTGCCTCCCCTCAGACTTCCCCGGGCAGGGCCTGGCCTCCCCCCTCAGACCAGCTCTCCCGCCTATATCCTCTGCCTCCCTGCACAGGTTGCCAAGCTGGGCCGAGCCATTCACTTGCAGCTCTGCTCTGTCCACATCCCCCAAGCCAAGGAAGTCGCCCTGCACGCCATCACCCTGCTAGCCCGGAACCACACCTCGGAGCTGGTGACCACCTTCCTGGACCCCTCCCTAACCTTGGACAGGTGCCCGGCCCCACCCTCCATCCTCCCCCCGGCGGGGAACAGGGCCCCACCCCCAGCTCTTCCCTCCTGCCTGCCCCCTCACGGCGCACAGGGACCCCCCACAGGCCTGGGTGCAGGGAGGGAGCCTGTTTGCTCCCTCCCTGTTTGCTTCCTGAACACCTCCTGAGGCCGGCTCCGGGGGGCCGCTGCCCACCATCCCGTGCCACATAGGACACCCCGGCCCAGCCTCTGTCACCTGTCGCCTCGTGGACCCCAGGCACGCCTGAAAGAGCCCAGCCAACACCTCCTCTCCCTCCCCCACCCCGGTGGTCACCGCGGCCCTTTTGGGTGGGGCTGGCTTTCTCTCGAAGCCCTCAGACACCCCCCCCCCC